ACTCAGCAGCTGAGAGTGTACAATCTTTTTGGTCACTTTATGTGTCCACTGCAGGGGTTGGCAAGAGATGTAGGCAGAGAGGCTGAACTATCCCAAAAGATATAAGGAGTTGAGCCAGATGCTAAAAAGTTGTAATCGAAATAGTCCCTTCACTGCAAGCTTGATGATGGCCCAAGAATAGATTTTTCTAATAATCTCAATAAAGAAACCATACATGGCTATATACAGACAACAGCAATTTGTCAGGAGCCAGGGCAGGAAAAATCAACCAATGACATTATATAAGCACTGCACAGAGGGAAAAAAAACAAAACAAAACAAAACAAAACAAAACAACAGAGATTATGCACACGAGAAAGACATTATTGACCAAAATTAGCAGAATTACATGGAATTACTGATTATATTTAATGTTCTTCATATTTATAGGAGAGTCGCAGAAAATAACCTGCACCATCACTGTCACAGATCATCTCTAAAAAAAAGATGCAGTAGTACAAAAGTAACCTGAAAAGGGTTTATTTAATGAATACTATGTAAAATAATTTAAAAAAAAAATTCTAGTGTCTTGTATTCCAATAATGGCTATTTTCTAGCCATTCTTTAAACACTTATTGTTTCATAAAATTAATAAAGGGGGGATTGATCAAAGGGTACAAGAACCCTTCATCTTTCTGGCATTTGCTGAAATTCAGCCCAAGAGAGCAGCAACCAGTAGATATCCAGATGAAATTCTTACGGAGTCTTGTATACACACAACGACTTTAGTCCTTTTTCTATGTCTTCCTCAGAAAGAACCAGTTCCTAATGGTTTGATTATAATCCATAAGCAAGCCTTTCATGGTGGCACGGAAGGGAGGTCTGATGGTGTGACTCTGAATCTGAGTAGCTTGTTTTTAACAATAAACATACACTTAGACTTAAGGGGTTTGCAGGACACTATCAGCTTTCCATTATAGCTGCAAGACACTTCCGACGTTTAAGAAGAAACATTTCCAAGCAATGTCTGGAATGAGTTCAGGGGCATTTGGTCACTGGGCAACTTTCGATACATTCTTGGATTTTAGCATATTATCTTGAAAACATTCTAGTTTGATGCCATGAATAGGCCTGTGTAACTGAGTCAAAATGAGAAGCAGGCTGTGATGCAGGAAGGAGGTTCAGGAAATGAAAGCACTCCCGTTGAACACATTTCTCCCTGAAGACGTCACAGTTTGAAGGTTTTCTTTGTGACTGAAACACATAAAAGCTTTTGAGGCTTTCTGAGTGCATATACACCAGAACATGAGCAACAAGGGAAAACCACGAGATGCATTTCTATCCTCTATTTGTAGGTCTGAATGGGAAATGTAGGGAAAGAAACCTTGGAAAATTTACTGGATGGTTTAGGGTTTCTCCTCCCCTGAAGTGATCATCACAAGATTTCATTCATTGCCTCTAGAAGTATTTTCAAACAGGTCTTCCTCCTTCACACACGTGAATTTGAAAAGTGCCTCAATTAAGCATTTGATTTCTCTTTTCCCCCCCGGGAACTGAAATAGATCTCAGTGTCTACACAAAGTGCCTCACTACTATATGCAGTGCAGCCTATAAATAAACCCACATGACTTTACCATGTCAGCTTTTACAAAAATCTGGTTTTAAACATCTGCAAGTTTTAAAACCTCAGCAGCTGTTAGAAGCATTGCCTGTTTGCTGGCCTGCTGCCTTCTGCTCTAAGCAGTGCCTAAAGCTGCACGTCCCATTGTCGTGGCCAGTGCTTACGCTGTCATCCTCTGAACAGCTCCTGCTCAAATCCCAGATATGGCATTTTATTAAACCATGCAGTTATCACCATAATCCCACATTAGGGCCTGAGGAACCTAGCTCTGATAGTAGTATGTATTTTCAGTTCAAAGCCTGCAGCCAGGAGATTATTAAATCCCCCATTTGTGAGAAAATTTTCCCATCCCAGAGTCAAAACAGTGAGAAAACACACAGCTCCTTCAGTCCCCTATTTAGGCTGGAGTCAAGTAATTTAGTCCACAATTTCAGACTGGTAAAATTAATTCTCTTCAAACCCCCAAATCCACCGCCATGAGGGTTTGCATCTTCCTCAGCTGATGGGTAGAAGATACATGACAGGCTTTTTACACTCTGTAGGCACTAGCAGATGACTACAGGAAAGAAATAGTAAGGCTTTTCACCCCATTTCAGAGTCCCCAAATTTCTTATGCCCACCTGTCCACCCAGCTAATAATGCTTTGCCTAGACAGGGCACTGCACAGCACTTTTTACCAGAATTTGTCACCTCTATGAAGCATTAATTCATATACAAATTACACTTAGACACACAAGACAGTTAAAGTAGCTGTCCCACCGACAGACAATTATGTTCTTGCACAGAACTAGCACCAAATACTACAATGACATGATAGTAATGAACAAGGTTGCCCACCTCAAGCCACCAAAAAGTGAGAGCACATATGCACACATCAACAGGTTTGCACAAAATAGGAACTCAACTCATGAGTACATCTCCAAAAATACCAGCTCAGAGAGATGAGATAAACATCAGTATCATGACAGGGAAGTAGATACACTTCAAGAGGTCCAGTATCTCTTAACCCATATACAACAATGCCACATTGTAGGTTAAAGGCTTGGAGAAAATGTCGATTCTCTCTGCAGGGGGAAAAAAAGCCTGTATCTATAGCACATAAAAAATAAAAATGGTAAGACTGTTGAGAATCAAGAGTAACAAAGCAACGCCTCTCTTATCTCTAATTCCAGAAGGCAATTATGTTAATATTAATAAGCCAAGAAAACCTCTGCCACTCATTTTCAAATGTTCATTCGTGTTCTGCACTCTGCACCAGATCCTTCAGCAACATATAGGTTCAAAGACAGCAAGGGAGACAGGGTTAGTCAGGGCTACAAGCAAAGAAATAATGTAGTGCTTTAATCACAGACCATCCCTAAGTGGAAACCATAAATTAAGGATCTATACCTATATTACAGTCTTTCTTGAGATATGTTATGTATTTTACAGAATGATAATTTCAATTCTAAGTAGACTTTATCAATGTCTACAGGTGTTTTAATTGTCTGTTTGTATATACTTACTGGTAGTTTAATAGAGCATGTTCTACAGCACTAATAAAAAATATTGAACTATAGCTCTAAAGTACCTTAGCACTGAGTCATAAGTCACATTTCAATATGACTTAATGTGATTTTTTTCTTTTTGTAATTTAATGCAGTATGGCTATTTTATGCTAAACTTAGCTTTCCCACACGAGGCTCATAAACCAAAGAACAGACAAAAGAATGATGATAAAGCATGCCATCACAGCTAAATGTAAAATAATATAAATTAGATACACATCTCAAAGATTTAGATGCTCCTGTTGAAGATCCTTGACCACAACAATAACCATCTTCCAAAATCCCCTCATTATCTCCCTCCCTTCATCTGTCAATCTGCCTTAAAGACCTTACACTTAGTTTCAGCTTGGTTTCCAAATATTCACACACACCAACTGTTGTTATGGATGTAGTGCCTGACACTGAGGAAATTCATAAAATATTTTCAAATTTTGACACCTAATTTTTTTAGAAGTGGTTTCTGAACACTTTAAGTGACAGATTCAGGGTGAGATGCAACAGCAGTGTGGAGGAAGCAAATGAAGCAAACTGCTCTTCCATCCCATGAACTGGCAACTCTGTCATACAGCATAATGGGGAGACAGGCACCACAGTCCCTTGGGACTCCCACTAATCCTGTGCCAAAAATTTGCTGTCAAATCACTTTTAAATATTCTAATGAGAAGGGTGATTTACTGCATATATTTTTTGATATTATGAAACTTTGCATCTTCCAGAAATGTCACTAATTTTCAAGCTATTTCACAAGGTAGGTGTGAAACAAATAAGACATTAGGCCTTGCCAAACTAAAAATCCAATACTGGACTTGAGCATCACACAGATGAAATTTGATAAAAATTTGCAGTAAATATGTAGCTGGCAAAAATCAAGATGTAATTTCTGACGACAAATCCCATGAATTTGGTTTTATTGTTACATTATGTTGCTGACCAAGGTCCTTTTCAGCTGCATTTGTCCTGTACCAAAGTCCCATTACTTTGCTTTTATTATGTTAATGACAACAGCAGTAATTTTTAAAAGGCAAATATCAGCTAACACAGAGCCATCTTGAGTTTGTTTTGTGGCTGTGCATCTAGAAATATTTGCTTCAATCACTCACGTAGCTGGGGCAGCTGTATGCATCATATTTTGCTGGTTTGGGAATTGTGTGCTATTTTGGTCAAGCCAGACAGGCCTTTTCAGTAAGTGGCTTTAGTGTCTTTCCTGGTAAATGGCAATGGTGGCTAAATGATTAAATGCAGGAGATGGCAAAAATAACAAGTCAGTGCTAATTATTGAATTTTTAGGGTGTCATAGAATAACGATGGCACACAGCTTTTGCAAGAGGAAATTAACCAGATTTGCAAGTCAATTCAGATGCCATGCTCCAAATTTGCTTGTTTGATTGAGCTGGCGTTCCTTCCTCAGAGACCAGAAAAAGCTCCCATAAGCTTTCTTTGGCCTGGATCAGAAACATCTGTTAAATGCATGAAACACTCATTTGTTGAGATCAACAGTCAAAAACCTGCACAAGGGCAGATTTTTTCATGTCAGATAGGTGACAAGTCAGTCATATGCCAGCATTACTGCATGTCAACATATGCATATATTTCATTGAATTGATAACTCAGCCCAAGCCTGCGTCTTTCTTTGAGCTCTTAGTGATATTCTAAAATTAAAATGAAACATTGTACACATTTCTGTCTTCCTTAAAAACAGTGCTTTGTTACTCTTCACAACAGCATAAAAATGCATAGGAAGTTCCAGAAAGCTAAGGAAAAAAAAAAAAGTCTTAACAATCCTTCAGAGTAGCTGAAATACAGTGGAAACATAAACATTAATTCCTTTTTCATCTTATGCTTTTCTGTTTTAGATACAGAGATTGGATTTAGAGCATTCCATGAAACCAATTCCAGCTGATGCATGCTACAGACTTACCAGGATCCTCATCATTTTGTTTTTGAGGAAGAAACAAGGCCCATCTACAGGTATCAGCTATACCTCACTGAAAATAAGCACAAATACAGAGGACTCTTAAGCACATAACTGCGAAGTGTCCGTGTTAGGGTATGTTTGGCCGGCTGTGCTAATTGCATCCAAACCCCCACGCCCACGCTCCTGCTGGCACTGCTCCATCTCCCCATTTACTATAGTTCTGCCTCTTTCCCTCTAATAGATTCTGGCATATTCTCCAATCCCACTACTTCTAATCCTGACATCCCTTTGCCAAATTGTGGAGGCAGCTTGGGGAAATGGAAAAACAAAACAAAGCAACCACCATCTTCAGCTGAAACTCACCCCCCTGCATGGCTGCCTTCCAACATGTCTGCCAATTCCTGGTTGCTCCAAGAGCTACTGCAGGAGCTGGAAACTTGAGGGGAAGGAGAAAAAATACACAACAGACACAGAAATGAATGTTAGTGGCTTCAAAAGGAACAGCCATCTGTTTTCCTTACTCCCTGGCAGCAGCAGGAGCTCCCTGCAGTGAGGATGGAGATTTGGCAGGTTTCTGTAGCCCTGTTGAGCTTTTACTATCTCTACCAGCATCCCCTGCTGCTTCTCTCCACACCCTCAGAGCAATTATACTTTGACTTTTTCCTGCAGCAGCAGTGCCTACACAACCTTATACTCATGGGCACTTTAATCACCAACACCTAGTCAAAACCAGCAAAGTTCAACTACCACTTAAGCATGGTATTCTTAAAGTTGGAATTAATATGATTTTGCAGCCATGCTGCATCCAAATCATAGGAAAACTGGTTTTAGCAGAGTTTACACCTGAGGAAAAGAACTTGATTTAGTTCTGTGACAATATGGTTTGACCTATATCACCCAAGATGTCAAGAAAAATTGCGTTATATTTTCCCACTGTGTCTTCCATTTGAATTTTTATTTGCATAATGCTGCTTTCCCATGCAGAAGGTTGCCAAGAAAATAGAGCATGAAACCTGCCACAGAAATGCAACAAAGAGGATTCAGGGTCTTTATTTTCAAGTAGACTTGAACTGATTTCAGTGTATTTCATTGCCATAAAAAAGAAAACAGAAATTTGATCAATGTTTAAGTTTATTATTATTTCTCATCATGGCGTGCTATAGGTCAAATTTTAAGGAAAGCAGCAAGTACTACAAAAGATGTAGCAGGTAAAAGAATTTAAGAACATGTATTAGGCACAATAAAAAAGTGAGCTACCCACAACCACAAACTTCCCTTGAAGTAGTAGCTTTTTAGTACTGTTCTTCAAGGATGTTTCTGTTCTCAGTTATCACAGTTTTAATATAACTTACAATCATTTCCTAGAGACTTAGTTATCCGGATTTTACAAAGCGTTATCTGCTTTAAGGAAAGCCAGGGTGCTGCATACAGTAATCTGTCGTGCAAGAACAAGAGCAGCTGGTGTAGCTTACATAAAGTGGCAAATAGCCCAATGCAATAAAATGTAAGCATGTTCATAGTAAGAGCAACTATTGGCATAGAACAGATGCCAGAATGTGTTTCTATTTGGATCACAAATAAAATGATCTGTTTATCTTCTATCATAATGAAGACAAAACAACAGGATGCCATTTCTATAAATTTGGGGGTGACAGATCCTCTTTGAAATTTAGATTTTCTTATTTTTATTTTACATATATTTAGTGCTCCCAGTTACAGGGTCTGGGTTATCACATAGATCTAAGCAAGTTGAAATCCAATTAGTTAATTTATCTGTCACTTTGATTGCGGGGTTTGGGGGGTTTTGTCTGTTTGTTTTGGGGTGTTTTTTTATTTTGTTTTGATTTTCTACATAAAAGCAGAACTAGCTAAGTGGAACATGGAATCAGTGAGTATTTAGGTTTTTTTTGTTTTGTTTTTTTTTTTAAAGGAAAGAAGTCAAATATGTAGCTCCTGCCTCAGATGGTTTACTCTTTTCTTACTAGTTGTGCTGCAATAGCTTTAACCACCAGGTGCACTTGGATCACTGACTACTAAATGGTCTGTTCTTGTGTTACCAGAAGCACATTGGAAGAAGGCTTGAATTAGGCTGCATCCCAGCTGAAATATGCATTGTACAAACATACAGTAGTTGACAGTACAAGAGATTCCTGGGGTAGGGTTGAGGGGAAAGATGTGACCTACTTAAGTCTTCTGAAGCTATTGAAATATAGACTAAAATTAGTAGCAGTTATCTCCATCAGGATCCATTCTGTCCATGGACTTAGTGGAAATTTTATCACTGACTGCAGAGGGTGCAGTTCCAGACCCTATATTTTCCATACACTTCCAAAAGGAAGATGATCTTATGAAAACTCTACACGCCATCAGGAGAGTTCAGTAGTATAGGAAGGCATTTACAAATCCCCTTTAAGGCTGTATTTTCTCGATATTTTTTTTTTAATGAATATTCACTCAATTTGGTTCTGCAAGATTATCAGGTCCCCATTTTCTGCCCAAAGGGCCTTTGCCAGATATGCTTAGTGTTTCAAAGAATTAGTCCCTTAGAAGTTTTTGTTTCCTTATCACTGAAAGCAACAGAAAAATATGGGCCCACAAATACATGTAGCCAGAGTTTTCAACCAACTCTGCCTATAAGCCAATGACCAAGTTACTTGCTGAGGAATGAAATCCCTCCATGGGTCAGTGTTAGCAGGTATGAGATAAAAGGAGGAGGTAGGGAAAGCAGAATCACTACTTTGATTCATTTTCTCCATCTTTTTGTGGGCAAAATTGTAATGATACTAAAACTTAACATCTTGCCTTCTGCATAGTGGTAACAGCAGAAGCATAGCCTAACTACATGTGACAGCCACAGTGACTTTTTATGCAATACATTTAATGATCTGTGTTTAATGGGAGCTAAGACACTTCTTGGGCACTGTCCATAACAGTCCTTCTCTGAGGCTATAGTCACACATTTAATGCAAAAAGACACTCTAGAGGAAATATTTTCTTACTCTTTCTGCTATGACTGCGAAGTCATTCCAAAGTGAAATGAATGCTGGAATGACCCTCTGAAAAGTAGAAAATAAAAACTCAGCAGAGGGAGCTGCCCCATTCTTCTCAGTGGATTAATCCAGCTTCCTAGCAATGATAATTTTAACATTGCTATCAAAAAATCCTGTAGTTTTTCTTGTAAGGTCATATATCTTCCATGAGTAAATTCCCATTTCAGTGTCACAAGTGGGTAGGATTTGGGATGTAATGCTTATCTCCTCCCATCTCTCCTCCCCATAACTTCCTAGTCAAGAAGGTGCTAGTCCTGAGGAATCTACAAGAACCTGTGTGTAAATTGAAACCCACCACAAAAATCTGTAAACCACTCCTACTGTTAGTATCTCCAGAGTGCCACCAAGCCACTGGGAAGGGTACTTAGAGGAAGAAACTCACTCTGCAGAGAAACAAAGATTTACTTTCTGAATAATTTCACAGCTGTGAGTTTCAGCACATTTGGGCCTCCCCCAGCTGTACATAGGAACACCTGCAGAGCACATCAGAGTCCATCAGAGCCCACAGACAGAAAGTTATACTTTGCACATTGATCTCTGGGAACAAAAAAAAATGAGGGAAACACCCAGTTGCGCTTAGAGGCTTAGCCGTTTCTCAGTTGCTAGGAGGAATGAGGAGTTGTTCTGCTGGTATTTTGGCATTTTAGCACAAATGCCTCCTGGGGCCTAAAAAGCATTTCCTGGAGCAGCAGCTACCTGGTGGGTTCAATGGGTGCAGCTTGAACTTGGCACTCACTAGCAGATCTAGCACATTGTGCTGCAAAGGAATGGGGCTTGGGATCTTAAACCTATCTCCTTCAGCAAGCTCGAGCTTTTCATGCTGCCTCTTATGTCACGGATCCAGTGCAAATTTGACCCTGTTTAGGAAGTTCATCACTCCCAGCAGAGACTCTGCTCCCCAGGAGAAGCAAAACTGAAGGAAATATTTCTTGAGCTTTCTCTATCCTGAAACATTGGGATTACTAATAGACCTCCCAGCTGCTATGATAGTTTGCATAATATAAACAGCTGCCTACTGCAATGACACAACCAAAGCAATAGACATTTGGCCACTATACAGCTAGAAATTACTTTTCAGCACTACAGAACCAGGCCAGTTACAAACAAGTAAGCTATAGCTAAAAGATAGGATAATCCTGTTCTGGTGTGACAGCCATCCAATCCTCTGGATGCATATATGTTTTTTAAATGGTCACTTTAGCTCTGCATTAAAGGTTTGTTTAAAGCCGAGAGCTCATTGCCCAAAGAAAACTGCATTCCTTTGGGTTAATATTTCACTTGACAGGAATCCTTTCTGGCCAGAGATCGACTATGCAAACAGGTTTGTATCTCATTGTTTCCAGGAACAAGAGTTTTTCAAACCCTTCTCAAACACAGCTGAATCAAAATATATACTCCTCAGTTCTCTTCCTTCTATTTAATTCTTTAACTCCAGGTGTACTATTTTCTCTAAGAATAGCATGTTTCTTTATATTAGTTACATATTATTTAAGTACAGCATATTTATATTAGTAGCAAATTGGTTACCATAAAAGCATATGGTTTCAGAGCTCACGGATAAAAAGCCATTAGAATTATTTAGTCTCAAGGGGGCATTCAGAACAACAAATCCCTTTCTTTTCCATTTGGGACTATCTGGCCTCACTGGGTCTAATCTCATGTCAGGAAATGCATCTTCCTGCTACATCTATTATTATTATCTCCTCTGAGTGACATACAAGACAAACATAGCATACAACAGAAATATTACATACCACTACATTACCTAATCTTCTATTCCTGTACTACAACACATTGGTCACCAACAAGGAACTTTGCCTTCCTTCTGAAAGCATTTATGTTGGTAACCTCTGTTTATGTCATATCTTACATATTGTGGGCAACAGAACAGCTTGGATGTTATGCTCCTACTTTCACATTTTACTTTTGTCTCCCTGGAGCCTACTGCAAGGAAGTACACCAGAAATTTGGGAATTAAGCTGGTAACAGGAAGACTGGAAAAA